AGGGACCTTCAAGAAAAGAGCCTACTCCTTTTTAAAAGGCCGGCAACGCATCTGCAATTCCCCTGGTGTTGCGGTTGTTCATGGGCGGCGGTAGTCACTTACCATCAGGTGAGCCGCATGCTCGTTTGCCCCCTCTGCTATAAAAAAAAAAAAAAAAAAAAAAAACCTGCATCCATCGACTTCCTGCATGTCTTACCAGGTCGTTACTCCATCTAGTGGAGAGTTGCCCTACACTTCGCCGACTGGTAGGAGGTATTTCTTCGAGCTATATGGCAGGTCCACTGTCACTTCAGCTTGCTAATCCGTTGGGCTATGTCGGTTAGCCATCTCCATAGCTCACTGAGTGACCTTGAGCTTCCTTTTGCGGCCAGCAGTGAAGGACCACATCTCAGATCCGTAAGTAATCACTGACAATACGCACTGGTTGTACAATTTCGTTTTAAGGTTTTGAGATATATCTAACGGGGAGATGTGCCCAGAAGAGTTGAATCCGTCGATTGACCTCTCGGTCGAAGTTGGACTTATCTAGTCGGACTATTTGTCCTAGGTAAACATACTCGTCAACAACTTCGAGCGGAGTGCTCCCAACAACTACCGGCAGAAGTGTGACATGGACGTTACACATGATTTTTGTTTTATCCATGTTCATCTTAAGACCTATCCGTTGGGAGACATTATTGAAATCATTGAGCATAGTGCTTAGGTCCTCCAGCGATTCTGCCATAAGGACTATATCGTCAACAAATCGAAGGTAAGTAATGTACCCGCCATTGATGTTAATACCGTATCCTTTCCACTCCGGCAGCTTGAAAACGTCTTCCAATGCAGCGGTGAAGAGTATCGGGGATATAACGTCACCCTGTCTTACACCTCTCTGCAGTAGGATAGGTTTCGTACTCTGATTCTGTACTCGGATAGCCATCGTAGCTCTACTGTACAAACACTTCAGCACTTCGATATTACGACAGTCAACTTGGCACCGCTAAAGGGGCCACCCAAATCATCAAAGAATCAAGCTTTCTCATAGTACACATTCGCAAGGCAAAGTGGCAGATTATACTCCTCTGACTTCTGTACAATTTGCCGAAGGGTGTGTATGTGGTCTATGGTACTAAAGCTTTTTCGGAAACCGGCTTGTTCGGGAGGTTAGAAGTCGTTAAGTCTGCGTGCGAGACGATTCGTAATGACTCTCGAAAACAGCACGTAGACGCGGCTCAGAAGGGAAATCGATCTGTAGTTCTTCAAGTTAGCGTTGTCAACCTTTTTTGAAGAACAAGATCACCACACTTTTGCTCCACGCCTCCGGAGTAGTGCCAACATGGAGTTTCTGAAGGACTTCACGTACCGGTTTTCCACCCACTTTCAAAAGATTTTCCGTTTTTAACACGTTCATGCGAACATATATATGTACGTCACATATCTGTAGATTTGATGTGGCACAACGTATAATTACGTTCAGCAATAGCTCGATTTATTGAGCACAACGTTATGGTACGGTGTCTGGCCATACTAATGTTTTAAAGTTGGGTTACTGTGCCACAACATATCGAATTCTCAAAATTGTAGTGCCACATCGCACCGATTTTTTTTGGCTTCTTAGATGGCGTTCCTCCCTGATACTAAGTACTCACTTTGTTAGCGCACAACGTCACTATACGTCGTTTCGCAAAAGAAGTTTCATTACATCGACTTGTGCGCGTCGACTTGTGCGCGTCGCGGGGCTAGTGCGTGCGCCAATGTTATGTTCACATGGAATATTGACGCTAAACGTAAGTATTTTATTATCTTACTACGATATATATATTATATAAATACATTTCACTTTATTGTAATAACTCTGAATATGTTCAAAATACATATTTTGTATTTTTTTGTTTGTTTTAGATATATAAAATGGACTAAAAAAGAAGGAATCTTCAATGAAAATCTATGAGCTTTCTACATCCCGGGAAACCACACCAGTCCCTTTTGTTAACGATGGAGAGTTTGGATCAGATGCTGATTACGGCCCAATTGGTGATAATGATGACGACAGCTCCTGTGACATAGGCATTTCGCAGTTTGAGCGGGGCAAACAGCGCAAAAAGTCATTATTGCATGTCAAAAAGAGTACTTGTTCCAATTTACGATCTGGTTCTGTTGAAGAATTTTCTAATGCAGAATCCAATGTAGATCTACTACATTGGATTCTGCATCAGAAAATTCTTATAACACCACAGACGATTCAGAGTATTCTAGTTATGAAAGCATTTTTGACTCTCATAAACGAAAATGTAGTGACGTCTTAGGACGTCAGCGCAATATATTTCAATACTTATATTATCAGTTATTGCACAGCGTCATTAGACGTCGCTTTAGTTTGTATGAAAAAATTATGTGCAATATCACATAGAGCTACTATATTGATGTGTGTGCATGAACGTGTTAAGGTGCTGAAGAGCCATTCTAATCTTTCTCAGACTAACGTCCGGGATGTCTTCGGAATAGTGTCGGATGAGACTCGCTCTTGGATCGTTACTCACACTTGCGTGTGGCTCCAACGATGACAAACAACGATGTACACAGCTGCCCATAGAATCTCTCAATCTCACTCAAAATCTCATGTGTCCCGGAAACGATTCTGCCACACATTAGGTCTTCATCTTTGACAGTTGGCTCTTTCTGGCAGACAAATCTCTGGCAAAGACTTTGGGGCCATAGTTCCGCTCGATTGTTTCTTCAATACAAGCTGTATTGAAGTTGCGTAAGTCCTTCCGCATGCATTTGGAGATCTGTCTGTTCAGTTGCCTGTATGCTGTCAAATCTGTTATAGAATGTAGTCTGTCGTTAACAAAGATTGAGATTGTGTCGACGAGGGTTGCGTACATTATAATCAGAATCACCAAACGCTATTCGCTATAAGTCATAAAGGGTTACGTACCAACCACGGCACATCCCGATGAGAGGTGGGGGAAATGTATGAGGATACATCTAGAGCCATGCATTCCTCCAAAACCCACTATACGTTGTTAACGGGAGACTTCAACGCAAAACTAGGCACAAGAGAGAACGATGAGCTGAAGGTTAGGCAATTTGGAATCGGGCAACGGAACCCAAGAGGGCAGTAGCGGGCCGAATTTATGGAGAAAGAGGGACTCTTTATGATAAAATCTTGCTTCCAGAAATGGCCTAACAGTAAGTGGACTTGGTCAAGCTTTGACCGTTCGACAAAAAATGAAATTGACTTCACTATGACGACCAGACGACAACTGTTTAGTGATGTCTCCGTGATCGCGAGAGTGAAAACCCGCAGCCATCACCGAATGGTGAAAGGCACACTGAATCGAAATGTTAAGTTGGAGAGGTCTCGTCTAATGAAATTAACGCTCCGACCCCTCGTGCTCTGATCTTAATTTCAGAAAATTTTCAGCCCGAGCTACAAAACCGCTTTAAGTGCCTAGAAGATTGCAATGCAGTGGACAATACGAATGACAAGCTTGTGGAAACTGTCCATGCAGTCGGAGCTAAGCTCTGCAGGACCCGCCACAGAAGAACATAAAAATTCTCCGATTACACTCTTAATCTCATGGCTGTTAGACAGGAAATGAAGCTGCAGTGTTCAGCAGACTTGAGAGCCTAGGCAACTGAAGAGACAGATCTCCAAATGCATGCGTTTGGACTTACGCAACTTCTACAAAGCTCGTATTGAAGAAGCGATCAAGCGGAACCAGGGTTCTAAAGTCTTTGCTAAAGATCTGTCCACCAGAAAGAACCAACTGTCGAGGCTGAAGACCGAGTATGGCAGCGTCGATATGGGGACACTTGAGATTTTCAGTGAAATTGAGAGATTCTTTGGGCAGCTGTACTCAGCATCTTTGGAACCACACGCAAGTGGAAGTAGCGATCCAAGAGCAAGTCTTATCCGACACTTTTCCGATGATATTCCGGATGTCAACATGAGTGAGATTAATAAACATTGCTATGTAGTAGGTGGGGAAACAACTTATATGAAATTAAAGAAGTTAGGCTTGTTAATATCAATATTATTTTATAATTTATGTTACTTATTACTAGTTATATTGTTGTAATAATTATTTATTAAAAAAATGGTAATAAAAATATATATATTTGATTGTTAATTTGAACTGGCTAATAGTCGGGGAGCCACGGTATGTACCCTAATGTGAATAGTTGTGATTAAAGGGATGCGCGCGTACTGTACTGTTCATATGTTGGGCGCTGGCAGAATAACAGCGTTGTAGGCAACTGCAACATTTATGCTGAGCTAGAGCCCATTCATTACTACATTATGTAATTCTTGTTATTTCTGTATGTACTTTATTGGTGGTAATGAATAAATGCTTATTATTATTATTATTAGATTACAACGGCAAGGCCCCTAGCGAGGACGTAATTACAGCAGAGCTTCTGAAATCGGGTTAAAAACTGGTACTTGAGGTCCTTCAGAAGCTTTTTAATTCCGTTCTCGATCTCTACTTGCTTTTGCTCTTGCTCTTTATTTACGTACAAGCACTACGCCGTAGGCTTGGAGCAGAAGTGCGGTGGTGTTGTTCTTCAAGAAAGGCGACAACGCTCTCTTGAAGAACTACAGACCGATTTCCCTTATGAGCCGCGCCTACGTGCTGTTTTCGAGAGTCATTACGAATCGTATCGCAAGCAGACTTGACGATTTCAAGCTCCTCAAACAAGCTGGTTTCCGAAAAGGCTTTAGCACCATAGACCACATACGACGACGCTGAAACCAGAGTGATCTAGGGCACAATAGTATGTTTCTGAGAAAATGAAGGAAATGCGTTACGCGTTATTAATGGAAATCTATAGGCTTTTTATTATTATTTTTTTGTTATGTGTACTTCTAATAAGTTTTAAATAAAAAAATATCAATTTTTATCAGTATGAGTTATTTATTAAAACTAATAATCGTAGTTTTACAAAAAAAAATCACTTAGATCACTATGGCAGATCACACATTTAAAAAAATGAATTAATAGTGTAAGTTTTCACTTTGATGTCGTAAGAAAAATCACATTAATCATCACCAAATACAGCAGGCAAAAAATTTCATTATCTTGTGCTTCCTGATTGCCACCTCTTCTAGGAACATGTGGCAATGTCAAGTAAAACTGATGATGGATAGGAGGTACGAATTTTAGAGTTTTTCTAATATCTTGCATTTTTTGATACGATATTAGTCTAGTTTCAGGGGCTTTTTCTGGTATATAATTCTTTAGGTTACAAAAAAAAGTTCCAGAATCCATATCATTTGGTTTTAAATCAACTGTTTCATATGTTTCAGCGTAGTCATCATTGTAACTGATTATACTTGAACCTTTACAAAACTTTATCTTCCGCATCTTAGAAATTTTTGCGCCTTCTCTTAATACAATCTGATAATCTTTGAATAGTGTTGTGAGGCTTTCATAATCTAGAAACTTATTTTTCATATCTCGCACAGTAAAAGGTTTTTGTTTTCTGCAGTCTCGGACGAGCTTCATCCAATCTTCTGGTGTATAGATATCAGTCTTCTTTTTTAGTTCTCGACTTATAAAAGAGAAGTCGGTATCGTTAGGCAGGTAAGTATGGCCACTGACGAGATAATGCATGGTGATCGATTCTAGATATGGCGATTTATTAACCAGAAACATCATAAAGTGTAAAACGTTCCAGTTTCTGTTTTGCCCGGAGCAACAGTCGCTAAAAAAACACAGTGATTTGACAGTGTCCGGCACGGAATCTTCTAAAAAGTAGTGAAGTGACGACATAATTTCTTGTGAGCCTCTGGCCCCACAATGTTCTGGCCACATATTCATGAGAACTTTTTCTCCTTCCTTAGTATAAGCATGAATACCAAAGTTCAGCATTTGCAGTTGTCTTAAATAATAGACCTCACCAGTATTCAAATAAGGAAGAGGCAGGGTTCGTTCCAGATCAAAAGTAGCTACTAATAACGATTCCTCAGTTTTGACTTTACTTTTACAGTCATTTAATATGTTTCTTACTTCGCCTGCAAGTTTAATATGCTGATCTTTTTGTACCCTTATAGCTAGGCATGTTTCTATATCTTCTTCCGCCTTTACTGCTATCTCGAGTATATCACAGGTTTTACAAGTATCTGCCTTAGGGATATAGAAGTGTATATTAAACTCGGTTGTAAATACTTTGACGTACGCTCTTTTTCAATATTGGTTTTCCTTCTGACTCACATTTTGCTTTAAAAAGTTCATACATTTTGTTCATTGAAAGATCCGGGCGCAAATATTTTCGTGTTGATCGTCTTTCTCCATAGTGACTCACAAATTTCGGAAAACTATTAATGTGGTCTTTAATCCAGTTCAACTTTTCATCTGACAGCTTGTTAGCAGGTACATGTTGTCCCCTCTTATCTCTTTCCGCTATTCCAGAAACAGATTTTTTATTACGTAATGCATAATCTAATCTTTTGTTAGATATTTGTATGACCTTTAAAAAGAAACTTTTGCAAACTCTTTTGTCCAACAGCATGAATTGGCGTACATAATTTATGCGGCTAGGATTTTGAGCATTTTGTCTTTGCTTACGGCGTTTTGGTTCTAAAGTCATAATGGCGCTGCACAACCATGTTGTTTGAGCATCCCATGAGGTGAGCTGATAAAACATTACGTGTATTGCTTCTTGATTTTCAGATGAAACCTGCTCACTGCATTTGAACCTACAGCTGCATACAACTGGTGTAAATACTTTAGCTGGGACAATACTACCTCGTACGTTGCGATATTCTTGGCCTGCAGTTCTTTTTCGCTTCCTTATATTCTTTGCCCATCTATCGAAATTCCGAACTCTTTTTCTTCCTTTGACAGTTTCATCGGAATCTGGATGATTTATTTCCCCCAAGTTACCTACAGGACCTTCTGGATCTCTTCTTTCTTCATTATCTGTAAAGAACAGCATAAGCTGTAACCCAAGCCCAAGCCAGATTCAAACATGAAGCAAAAACGCAACAGACGAGTATTTGCTTATAAAAATAGGTAATATTAAGGAAGTAGTTTATTAGAGTATAGCCTTATAAGTATTTTCGTGCTAATTAATTAAAAGAACATAAGTGTAAGTCAAGCAACAATATTTGAAAAAATATGACTCTGAAATCGAACTGCAAATCACACAATAAAAGTAAAATCTCTCCAGCCCTTTATATTCGACAACAATACATACCTTCACTGTCTTCTAATTCTGTGGAAATTTCTACATTTTGCTGTGGATAGTAAGAAGAATGATCACTTGAAAAATCTTCATTTGTTGAAGTCGATGAAGATGGCGGCGGCGAAGATTGCAATGCCATATTCACTATTCTTTTAGCTCTGTTTCTGTTATCCATTGTTTACGTAACACCCTTTCAATTAAAATCTTTAATAAAACAAAAGATAATCGCAAGCGCATGTGACTAAACCTAAATCAATATGACAAGTAACGTCAATTGATTTTGATTTTGTATACTTTTTTTTGGACTTTATGGCCTGGTATCTAGACCTTTAGGCCAAGTCTTGAGTATGATTTTGTATACGTGACTGCGTTTGTGTTGCCAGTTTAAAAATATTCAGTGGTTTTGTAAAAATATCAAACCATATTATTTGTTTTAAGTATATAAACATAGATATTAAATAAAAAAATTACGTAAATTATTTGTACACAATTAATTTATTATTTCTTTATTGCACTTAGATCAGTTTGGATTTCCATAAACGCCAGCAACTTGCGACCACAGTGATCTAAGTGCGCTCTCATTACTTAGATCAGTCTGGCATGTCTCCATTTTGCAAATCGCAACGATTCTATAGTGAGATGTTGTGATTTCTCAAGGAAAAAAATACTGGGAAGCACTTAGATCAGTATGGCCTGAAAGAATTATGATTTTTCTTTGCAATTGTGTAAAAGAACCATTTTTGCCAAAAATGTCACTTAGATCACTCTGGTTCCAGTATCTTCCATATCTTTCGGCAAATTACACAGAAAACCTAAGTGTACAATTTGCCACTATGTCTGGCGTATGTGGACTATAAGAAAGCCTTTGATTCCGCCGAAATTTGGGCGGTGCTGTAGTCCCCCAGCGGTGCCAAGTTGACTGTAGGTATATCGAAGTGCTGAAGTGTTTGTACAGTAGGACTACGATGGTTATCCCAGTACAGAACCAGAGTACGAAACCTATCCAATTGCAGAGGATTGTAAGACAGGGTGATGTTATTTCCCTGAAACTCTTCACTGCTGCATTAGAAGAAGTTTTAAAGCTACTGGACTGGAGAAGATACGGTATTAACGTCAATGGCGAGTACATCACTCACCTTAGATTTGCCGATGATATAGTCCTTATGGCAGAATCGCTGGAGGATCTAAGCACTATAAGCATTATGCTCAATAATCTTTATAATGGCTCCCAACGGATAGGGCTTAAGATGAACATGGACGATACAAAAGTCATGTGTAACGTCCATATCACAGCTATGCGGGTAGTTGTTGGGGGCACTAAGCTCGAAGTTGTTGACGGGTCTGTTTAACTGGGACAAATAGTCCTACTAGGTACTCCTCAGACTTCAGTACAATTTGCCACTATGTCTGGTATATGTGAACTATGAGAAAGCTTTTGATTACGTTGACATTTGGGCAGTGCTGCAGTCCTTTCGGCGCTGCCAAATTGACTGTCGGAATATCGAAGTGCTGAAGTGTTCGTAGAGTAGGGCTGCGATGGCTTTCCGAGTACAGAACTAGAGTACGAAACCTTTCCATCTGCAGAGAGGTGTATGACAAACATTTTCAAGCTTCTGAAGTGGAAAGTAAACGGTATCAACATCATCACTCTACGTACATACATCACTCACCTTCAATTTGCTGACGATATAATCGTTATGGTAGAATCTCTGGAGGACTTAAGCACTATTCTCAATGACCTCAAGTGCCTCCCGGATATGTTGGATATCTCCGGATATGTCTTTATATGAACATGGACAAAACAAAGATCATGTTTGATGTACATTTCAAACCCATGCCGGTAGTTGTTGGAAGCACTGAGATCGACGTTGTTGACGAGTATGTTTATGTGAGACAAATTGTCGGACTAGGTAAGTTCAACTTCAACCGAGAGATCAATCGACGGATTTAACTCGACTGGGCACATCTTCTCGTCAGGTATACCTCAACACTCGAACGTTTGCTTCCATTACTTTTATAAGGCTACTAAGCAATTTTTAATTTGTAGCTTTTAATATAGCATTCGTTTCTTCTAAGATATTAAGATTATTATGCATATTTTAATTGCTTACGAGTACGCGCAAACGAACAAACGAATGGGATTTGAAGGAAAAGAGCCGTGATTTTAAAGTTATCGAATTTTACTTTTAGGCAAGTTTATACTTATTTTAATTTTGATTTGACTACATTCATGAAATTTTAAGTCAATTTCCCTTGCTGGGAATCGCATTAAGTGAAACGTGAAAAATTAAAGACAATAAAAAAATATCATTCCTAAAAATAAATCGAAATAAATGTAAATGTAATGGTAATGGAAAGTACCGTGCGCACAGAAATGCAAGTATGGAAAATTATTCGAGAAAATGTAGACACGGAAAGACCTATGATCAACAGTGCACTAAGGGCGAAGATGATAAATGAAGTTACTAGGTGTTATAGCATATATCGCTTAGCAGGCTACTTAGTTTTGTGGATATTAATCAAAAATGATAACATGTGTTTTATATTAAACTACTTTCCTATAATAAGTTTTCACTAGGTATTAATTACTTAGTACTTTACTAATAATTAAAATGTTTTATTTATGTTGAGTGCAGTAATTGTGATGGCAAGCTAATTTGTTGACTTTAGGAACCTTTTTTAAATAATATTTTTCCATTACGTAATTAGTAGCTACCACAAAAAAGAACCAAAGTTCGAACCGCTTTCTAAGAACTTACTCGGAAAAGGCAAAATGCGTCGTAATTACTGCAATTAAGGCCAACATTGCTTTTGTTTAAAGAAAAACCGGGAGGATCTGTAGACGATTTATTTTTTCGAATGAACGGCTTAGGCTAATTTGCAGGCGATTTGCCGGAACATTAAAATAGTGTATATCTTTTATATTATTAGTGGGTATTTTATCAAAAGTATCACATTATCATCATCACAGCCATAAAATCACACCAATTCTTACCAAAGTAAGAAAGAAAGAAACATTTATGTCATAGATGCGCCATAAAGTTTGTAATGACCTTCCATCACTTTCATTTAAAAATTAATGCTGATTATTTGTATGGTGCATTATTTAAAATTATAACTTTTGAATTTAATAGAATATTTACCTTAAAAACTTTCTCTTTAACCAGTCGCAAATAATTTAATGAATGGGCGACAGTAGAAATTAATAAAAGTAGACAAAAGTTATACGAACTTTTTAATAAAAGATCATATAAATGTAGTGTTATATTTAGAAACTATGTAAAATTTATTCTAAAATTAAAAAAAGGTATACTACACAGGTAAGGCTTTACATTCTGGCAACAAAATTAAAACTCTATCCAATAAAATTAAAATAACGTGAAGTATTAATAGTCAAACGGGCAAGGTCAAACCACGCGCTCGGATTTCCAATTGAATATTAACAATCATTTAACTCAATCTGATCAAGAAGTTGCTATGGCTTTTGAGAAACATTTCACTGATGTTCCTTTTTGACAACAAAATCATTAAATTGTTTTCCTACTGTCGCCGAATCATTGCTAAAACAAAATGTAAAGCCTTATTCAAATACTTTTAAATTGCATAGAATATTGCCAAAAGATTGTTAAATACTTTAAAAATATTGATCTTAAGAAAACGGTAGATTTCTAAGAAAGAAAAAAGTAAGGCAGAATAGATACAATAGCACCTTATCTAGCCAGGATTTTTAATACAATGGTCGAATGGTCTTCAAGCTGAATCCCGAAGTTGTCTGTTCTTCGAGCTTACTAAACAGTTAGGCTATGTCGGGTACTGAGGATTTACTGCGGATATCGTCATTTCTAAGCCAATTACGCAAAGAAACCATAGCCCTGTCCTTGAGATTCCTCATACATTCAGCAATGAAAGACCATGTCTCAGATCCATATGTAGGTGTACCTCTTTTTATTCATTTATTATGAAAAAAAAATTAGCGTCATATTCCATACTCTTCCCTTTCTCTTCTCTTTTTTGTAAAAACATTACCCCCACACTAGAATTTTCTCCTGTATCGTGGAGGCAGTTTACAAGCACACAAGGATAAACATCTAGACCCGGAACAATTATTTGTAGGCCATACAGATACTTGTTCCGTGTGGAATTCGAACCCGCGGCCCCCAGCACAGCAACTCATTGCTAAGCCACTGCGCCACGGAGCCGTCAAATACTCCTTCAATTTGAGGCAAAACGCTTTTTGGCGATATTCCTTTTGGGCTCTTATACTTGGCAGCATTAAAAAAAACAGTTTTTTATAATTTTTAGCAAATAAATAATTTTAAAACTTTTTTATTTCGATTTATTTTTATGAATAATATTTTTGATTATAGTCTATCATTTTTCACGTTGCACTTTTTTCTATTCCCGGCAAGGGCAAGTGACTTAAAATTGCATGAATATGGTCAAATCAAAATTAAAATAGGTATACACTTGCCTTAAAGTAAAATTCGATATTTTTAAATTCATGGTTCTTTTCCTTCAAATCCCATTCGTTTGTTAGTTTGCGTATGTTTGCTCCCCGTGGTTTTATTATCTTATTTATCACAGGATTTCTAGATTTTCAATTCCACTCGAATTGTGATAACATGTCATTGCAATCGAGTCAGAATGCGTCGCGACAGCAAGGAAGGAGGCAAGTGCGTACCTTATCCGGAGAACTCACGACATCTTCGCCAACGGTGACTCGAACTAATGTCAGAAGATTCACAAAATATCGTCGGGCAGCAAAATATAATTATCATAATCACCATTTTATTTTCAACTTTAGAAATTAAAAATTTAAAATGTGTGTACTTTTATTTCTGTTGTAGCCATTTTTTAAATTGCTATCTTTTATTCTGAAATAATAATAAATAAGGAAATTCTAAGATAATATTAATACAAGTATTAATATATGTCTCTGAATCCATTTTACATGCATAAGCACAGCCACACTCTGACGTGATAATTATTGAATGTCTATAGTGAGCCTGTATCCACCAATACGAAGTGTGATATATCCATACATATTACAGTGATGGATCACAATCCGTAATGAACGTCCAGCCTTCGACTAAATATTCTTTGCACTTAACCAATTTATTGAAAAAGCCAAGCATATTAACAAACTCATATTATAGATATATCAAGAAAGAATTT